CCTCAGTCAGACTGCAGAGACACTGAGCTGTTACAGCAGGAACTGACTGCAGCTGCTGAAGAGGAAGAAACTCTGACACAGACCACTGAACACACAGCTGATGAGCACTTAAAGACTTAAGCAAGCAATAATAATCATTATTTACTGTATTTCTAAGGTTTAATTTATTTAAAGATATTTTAAAGAATCTAAAGACACCACATAATTCATTTATGTTCCCATTTAATTACCACAAAACAAAACAGTTCTTACTCGAGTACACATTTCAGTTATTAAAACTGAAAATGAAAACATTCTACTTTTCCCTGCTATCAAATATCACCAGATACAAAAGATATGGCAATCTAAATGTCACCTTATTTTTTTTCACTGACAGGTTTAAGATTCCCAATAAAATAAGAAAAAGGGGAAAAGAAAAAGAAAACTCCACAGCCTCAAACAGAGGCCTCAGGCATTTCTTTTTAATGTCAGTGAAAGATTTATAAGCAACACAATTATAACCATCAAAATTAGACTTAGTGAATCTGATAAATCTTTTCTGTGAGATTTCTAAAAATTAAAAAAAAATACCAATAACAAATTAATTTTCTATGTTAGGAAATACAGTAAAAATCCGTGTAATAATTTGGATGATCTAATAATATTTGATCCGTTTCAAAAGCATAATGTTAGTGCTTTCAATTAAAAATTATTTCTTATCAAGATGCAACAAAAACTCAAGTATCACTGATCTTATGTAGGGTGTGAACAGTCTGATGTTATAAGAGTTTTCTGTGATTTTGGTTTTTAACAGGTTCATCAGGTCACTAATGTAACAAAGCTGAATAATTATTTCACTTTGCATTTCACACACAAATTTTCTCTCGTGCAAACACGATATTGGTTTGATTGTATGGGTTTTGTTTTGAATGATTGCCAGTTTTACCAGTTTAAGAAAATGTCATCTTTAATCATCAGTGATATACAGGCTGTAGATACTGGAGAGTGTTTTGCTGACTGTAACCTCACTAAGTACAAATTACAGATTTAGGTTGATTGATTGTATTACATGAATTTTGTCTGAATTTTGAAATAGGGATTTTAAAAATTCTTACACCAAGTTCTGTTCTGTTCACATTTCCTGACAAAGGTGGCTGTTTAAATATAATAATGATAATAGTAATAATAATATTAAAGGTCATGTTACGTTTACAATGTAACATGACCTGTAAGATTGCTGATCATGCTAAAAGCATGTCCAACATGTTCCAGCAGTTCCACCATGACTCCCATCACCATCCTCATTCACACTCTGACTTACAACTGTTTAATAGATCAGAAATACTTTAAACACAGAAAATAATTTCATCACCAAAAACCCAGATTAGCGCTCATATGAATTCATAAATTTGCAGGCACTATGTTAGTCTTGCAGATATAAGCATATTTTTGGCGTTAAATAAAGACATAGTGCATTATCATTCATCACAATGTTCAGTCAAAATTTAATTTTACAAATTTGAGGCAAAAATGTAAGTGCATAAAATGAAATTGTATGCACATACAAGTGCATCTATTTTCTTTTCCAATCCAGGGTGGTGTTGACAGAAAACACAATATTGCTTTTACTTTTTAAACTCGAGGAAATGTTTGCAGAATATGCCTGCATTTGTAGCTGTAAAAAATACTTTTACAATTTTTACTAGTTGTTTGAGTTAGACCTACTCACCAATCACTGATCGTGCACTGTGGCACAATCAAAAATTAACTCTCACTTTGTCGTAATTTCGCTTAAATTCACAAGAGGGCAGTGTTGACGTAAACTAGGATTGCAAAGGGAAGGTAGGGGTCTGCTCGAAAAAGTAACGTTTTCCATTTGCGACACAGGTGAGTGCAGATATACGGAGGTGAAATACACCAAGCGTTACAAAAGCAAATGCACAGCGTGTGAGGTCTTGTGCAGGATTTCTTACTTCGAGTATGTGACTGAACTGGTGATTCCACCATAAGTTAAACAACCACAAAATATTTGCTGGCGGCTTAGTGGAGCTTCTATTACGTTTTTACAATAAAGAGGTTTCCGCGTTTTTACGGGAAGTTGATCTTTGGTCAGTGCGGAAGGGAAGTTTAACTAGTCTACGTTCTAACTAAGGTGCTTCCAGGCGCACGTCGTTTTATCAGATAGATTGTCTTTACTTTGCATAGACCCACAGAGGCTTCGCGATTCATTTATCATTATGTCATCTTTGCTTTAACGCATCCGCACCTGGCGTCGATTATTGCGCGCTCTCTTCTCTCGGCTTATATAGGCTACTCTGAAAATGAGTGATCCGAGAACAAACTGTTTAAAAACAGCACTTCAGTTGACTTCTCAACTAATGTTGGTAGGTGAGACTTTTTCAGCTTTGCTACAGTTTTTACTGTATTATCTTGTATTCTCCTTCCAATCATATTACCAAAATTAACTTTATTAGAGTGATTAATAGGGTTTTTACTTTTGCCAAGTGTTGATTCTTTCTTCTGTTTAAAATAGTAAATACAGTATTT